TGTGTGTGTGTGTGTGTGTGTGTGTGTGTCTCTTATACACATCTATATTCTCTCTCTCTCTCTCTCTCTCTCTCTCTCTCTCCCCTCCCCACCCTCTTCTTTTCTTTTTTCCCCTTAATGAATCGGTCAACAGATCAAATCCTCCTGCGAAAACCCACCCCTCCCCACCTATGCTGTTGCCCCCTCTGGTCTTCTCTAACTGTCTCCGGGTACCCCCTGCGGAGGTAGTCCCTCTCTTTTGGGTTTGGGAAAGAGGAAGCCGCACGCAATCTACAAGTTCCGGTGACAGAGTTGCACCGTCACAGCAGATGGCACTTTTGCCACTCCAAAGCAGTTAGAAAATTTTGGGAGTGAATGAAGTTCAGCTCGTACCCTGATCTCCTGGAGAATAAGGGATACCCCTTTACCTCTTGGTTGGCTTGCTAGCAGCTACCGTCTTCACCACCCGAATAGAACGCCCGGTCATTATCGCTGTACCTAGACCGAAAGTTGCACCAAATTCCGCTATGATGACCGGGCGTTCTATTCGGGTGAACACGGTAGCAGTTGCTATATGCAAAACAACAAAAGTTACAAAACCCTCCTGAAGAACAGAACTTAAAAACTACCAGTATGCAGCGCGGGACCAGAAACAAAGTCTCCCGGTCCCCAGGCTAGCCCTGACCCCTTACTTCTGGGAATGACTTGTTTTTTATTCTCAAAAGAATAGTAGAAAAAGTAGAGTCGAGAAAAGTAAGGAAGCTAAGGAATGAAAATTGACACCACTGCAATTGTCCCCACAGCAGATGGCACGGAGCACCTTCGGAGCGAGTAGTAAGGTAATAAAAAAAAAAAAAAAAAAAAAAAAAGAAAGGAAGAAGAAGAAGATGAAAAAGAAGGGTATCAAAAAAAAAAAAGAAAAAAAAAAAGTAGGGTATCACAGTCATTGTTCCCTCTCTACGGGCAGACGAAGAAGGGGGCTGATCCAGATTAAGGGTGTTATAGCTGTGGCAAGGTGTGGCCTGCAACAGCTCGCCCTGGCGGTGATAACCTTTCAGTACAGCGCTCTGTAGGTGGTTCATTACAGTAATCTATTTTCCTCCTCGGGCTGGTGCTGGGTCAGTTGTTCGTCTGGCGAGGATGAAGAAGATCCGGCTGCGGATGCAGCAGATGTATGCCCAACGTGGCATGTGGGACATGCTAGAAGAGAATGTGGCGGGCGATGGCGTCGGGGATAGTCCATGGAGAAGAGACACATACTTTCTGTGACAGCTTCCTGGAAACATTCAAGTTGATGACACATGGCATGTTGCTGACATGCCAGCAGGAAAGCAGGCTGACGTTCACAGCTATTTAAGCATGGCATGTCAAGCGCACAACGGCATGCTGAACAAGTAATTAGCGTGGGGGAGGGGGGGATGAGTGGAAGACAATGGGTTGCAGTTTTCGAACCAGAGGCTGGCGATGACCATCCCTTGTGTGTGTGTGTGTGTCTTGTAAATTGTCACCATGACAACCCTTTTCTATACAGAAGAGTAGACTCACATCCGATACAGTCTGCTCGACACATGTATGTGTGTGTATGTGTGTGTGTGTGTGTGTGTGTGTGTGTGTGTGTGTGTGTGTGTGAAGGATGACTAAGCCCCCACGATGGTAATGACGGCGAGTCACATGGAGAAGTGTGATAAGAAAACACATGAAGAAAAATGAGACGTCCACTTCATGTGGTTAGACCAAAACAAAAGAAAAAACAAAACAAAAAAAAAGATCTACATCCCAAGCATACGAAAGCTAAAGAACATCAGCAGTGACACAAAAAAAAGGACTAGAGCCCGGGGGTGCTATCCCACAGCAAGGGGAAATGCAGATGGCAGCGAGCGAAAGCAGCAGGGCAAAAAGCAGCAAGGAGTCGGACAATTGACCAACCAGACCAGCAGCATGGGGAGATAAGGCATCGAGAGCAAAGGGCAGTATAGCAAAATGGCAACACAGCAAGGAGAACGGCGAGGCGGCATTGAACAAAAAGCGGCTGCAAGGCACATAAGCTTGAGGGCATGGGGGAGGCGAGTGGGCAAACAAACAGCACAACAGAACGAGGCAAAAGGCACAAAGTGCCAAATGGAGACCAGAACAGTAAAATCAAAGCCCGAAAAACGTAAAATTGAACTTCCACACAACATGGCCAGTCAGTCCCCTGGGATCTCTCAGGGCAGTCAATGCTACCAGGGACTACGGGTCCAGATGTTGAATTGTGCCATGAAGCATGGGTTGTTTCCCAGCAGGTGATGCTCCTCACAAATGAAAAGGAGGCACAGGCCAAGGATGCTACTGAGGGATGCTCGTATCACACCCTGTAGCACCACAGCCAGTGATTGAAAAAAAAAAAAAAGCCAATCAACCTGATGATGAGAGATTGTTTTGATGGACTTGCACCGACTCGCCAAGAGGCTGGAATCCCCATGTTGATGCTTTAGGTCACTTGACCTTTGTTGAAAGCAGACTGCCGGCAGGTAACACTACAAGTGCAACATAGCAGCAGGCAACGCTGCCGGGGCAACCCAACTGCACAACGTAACAGCAGTGCAAGCGGACGGCCATCACGACAACAACACAGCAAAGCACAAGCCAACACTGCCAATGCAGCCAAACCGCATGGAACACAAGTAAAGCGCAATGGACGACAACGCACATGGAGGGCAGCATGCAACAGCGCAGGGAAGCACAAGGCAACCCAGCAACAGCTGAACCTCACCGGTGACGTCTTGCCGGAGGTGGATGTCTTCCTGGTGTGTCACGTAGCCTTCGACCTCATCAATCTCGAGGTGGGCTTCGGGATACCGTGTTTCGGAGTCCTCTATGGAGGGGCCTCCATCGGCGGGCTATCGTCAAAAACAGGGTTGAGGCCCCGTTTCCTCTTCTCGGACATGCAAAGTTTTTGTCTTGGTGCTGAGCTTGTGGATGACGCTAGTATCACTATCACCATAGCTATCTTCTGAAGCGGAGTCACTCGATGGCTCATACATAACCTTCTTCTTGCCTTTGTCAGCTTCGCGGATACTGAATGGTCCGACGTATTGTATAAGTTGTTCAAGAAAGTTATCCTGCATGTCGCTCATTCAAATCGCCACCTGCATGTCCAGGTCTTTCTTCATCTCGACACATTGTTCGGTGTCCTTGCTCTCTTGTTCACCTTCCTTTCTCAATGTGCTTTTTCGTCCTCACACCGATCTTTCTCTTCTTCATGCCTTTTTGCTTCAACCGTATTGAGATTATGTCGCTCCCCCTACTTCCGTGTGCCCTCTTCATTAATAAAGCCTTGCGTCATTGTCATCGTATGACCAAACTTTGGGATCTGCGGTTTCACATCTGGTTTGCGTGGCGGATAATTATATCTTATTCTAACATTATATCGTCTAGGTGATCTCGAGCGTCTTCAATTCGTCGAGGTGGACAGTCTTGAAGAGATTTCGTATCCTCACCCCCAATTAGGGCATTGATTCATGTAGTGGCTTGTCTCACCACAGTCAAAACATGTCGGCGATCGATATTGTCTTTTGTCGCCTCCTGGTTGCGCCTAAGCACCATTTCGTTGGTCCGCGCCTGACATCGTTCTCTGTACAGAAAATATTCCCAGAATTA